GGTTGGCGTCCCGGCTTTGTGAGTGAAGCCTTTGTGTGACAGCGGCGGCGGCGTGCAGCTTCCTCCTTGTAAGGCCTGCCCTGCTTAGTGGTGTTAAAGGCTTTTCCTTCTCCGAAATGGAGTCATAAATTGGCGTTCTGTTCCCGAGTAGGCCAGATGAATTGGTTGCTAGCCCTGTCTTGGTTGGTCTACTAAGGAAATTTTCTTGACTACCAATAAAATCAGTTGCAGTGGTCTCTTGCTGTGGTAGTCTCGCCTATTAAATGTCTTGCCTGGACTGTCTCGCTTATTACAGATATATGCAGAGAAAACCGGTCAAAAATCCTATTGCTGCCTCCCTGGTTTTCGGCAAACTGGAAGGAGCTTATTTGTCTTTACAGTAATAGTATCTGTTATTCTTGGGGTTTGAGCACAAGAATTCTTTTTGTGTTATAGCTAAGCATGTTGATATTTAAGAGCGAAGCATGTTAGTAATTTCAAAAAGTTTCTTTACTTCCTTTCATTGTTGACCATGGCATTTGCCAGTTGGAAAGAGCACAGATGGGACTAACTGGGAGGTCAGTAAGGATTACCTTTTAGGCCTATTCTGTACTTTTTCAGTTGGCCCTTGAATGCTGAATGACTGGAGCTTGTAGCTGAACTTAGCCTTATACCAGTCTTGAGGAAAAAATTGCATGCGTGCCTAATTGTGTGCACGAGGAACAATTCTCTTGGTGACAGGATTTGCATCATGCTTATGTGCTTGTCACCCTACTAGATGGTGCCATCTGCAGGTCATGTTCCCATCGTAGACTTCAGTGCACGTAGTCACTTTAATTGCCTGTGTCAGGTAGACAAAACTTGGTTTGTATTGAATGTGAACATAATACTTGAGAATAGAACGAGTGAGCTTACACTTTTACACAGATGTGTCTAAGTTTATTTGATTGTTACGCACAGAACCTGCATGTAACAGTGTAAACAATACATGATTTAATGTCCATTAATATGTGTGTGTGTTATTTGTATCTTAGCAAAATATTTATATCCTGTCCTGCCGTAAGGACTCTCTTGGCATCCTGAATCTTTGCTTCAACTGAGCAGCTCATCCATATGAATTCAGTGCAGGATGGAAATTAACTGTAAACAGTTTCAAAAATTTTACAGAGGAACATTTCAGTGGATTTCAGCATTTGTCCAATATTTGGACAAACAGCTTTAAAAAACCCGAAAAAACTCTTTCAGCATTGTCTTTTTAACTATATGGAATGTATTTGTAAGTGCTTTGATTTGCCAGGTGCTACCAGTAGGTTCCTGCAACAGTCTCTTCAGGACAGCAGAATTTTTGTCTAATACCTAAAGTAGAAAATAGCAGTTTTTGAGGAAAAAGTAGTAATTTAAAGAAAACAAAATTAAATCCATGACACTAATGAAATCTCTGGACCTACGGACTCCAAAGTGTTAGTTGTAATTATGTATTGACCGTAATGAAACTTTATACCAATTAAACAGCTGTTTATTGACAAGCCTTTGTTTTTAAAACACCATGTAGCCAATGAAAAGTTAATTTGAATTTGCCTGTTATGTGTAATTTAAGTTTGGGGGTAAATAAGGGTTTTTTTGTGTGTTAGAGCTTCTTTTGAAATTTTTTTTGTTTATTTCCATCTTTCTTTAACACCTTGCAGCCTATATCAATTTACAGTCAGTGTTTTGATTTGCAGCCCATAATTGTATGCAATCAGGATTTTGTTCACTTTTTTCCTATTTCACATACTTAAAAGTCTGGAATACATATCTAGAATTATTTTAATGAGCTTGGTTTGATTTTGCTGAATAGAACTACTGGATAATTATTAAAAAAATACATAAAGTACTCACTAAACATTTAGATACAAGAAGAATAAATTCCAAAATCTCCCTCATACAGGATGTTACCAAGTTGACGCCTTTGTCACCAGAAGTCATCAGCAGACAAGCAACAATTAATATAGGTAAAAAAAAACTTCCAAAAAAGAGGGGGGCATTCATGTGACTCTTTGGTGCTCATGCAGTAGCATATGGTACATATGTAACAGCATTTTTAAGAAATTCTTACTGAAACAGACAGTAATAGATACAGTGTTTTTATTATAAATTTTATGAAGATGCAGGAAAAGACTTGTCAAACCCTTTTAACTTGAAAAGCACTGATTTTACTTCAGAAACATTGTTGAATGAAGTGGGGAATAGTTGCTAAAGCAAAGTTTATTTTACCTTAAAATTAATCATTGAAATGAGTTTCAGTAATATGCAAAGGTCTGTCCACTGGGTGCTCAATTTGAGATCTTGTTGTTTAAACAAATATGACTACAAAACCCATACATGCTTCTGATGGGAGCTCTGGACTTATTGGCTACAGAGAGTTTGGGGTAATTATGTGTTCATTGTAATGGAACTGCACAAAATTAAACAATGGTTTATTGACAAACATTTGCTCTTAAAACATAGGTACAATTGGTCATGTGGCCCATGGAAAGTCGACAGTAGTCAAAGCTATATCTGGAGTTCATACTGTCAGATTTAAAAATGAACTGGAAAGAAATATCACAATCAAGCTGGGCTATGCTAATGCAAAGGTGAGTCATTACTATAAATCTAGCAAATATGTTGCTAATATATTTCAGGGTGCATGTAAGCTTATAAGTTACTGGCCCTTGATGAATTAAACTTTTTCTCAATTTTTAAAAATTACTTGCAGATTTACAAGCTGGATGACCCAAGCTGTTCCCGGCCAGAGTGTTACCGATCCTGTGGAAGTAGCACCCCAGATGAGTTCCCTACAGACATTCCTGGCACCAAAGGGAACTTCAAACTTGTCAGGTAACTGCTGTAAAGTGAATGGTATAAATTGTGTTTACTTTATGTGCGCTTCCTTTTACATAACTGAAAATAGTCAGGGCTGAGCTGCAAGCTGAATGAATCGTTATGGCAGACTGCATGTTCTCAGCAGCTGGACACCCCTGATCTTAGGTTAAACTGCCTTGGTTTTATTTGTTGTAAGACACGGTCCATGGTAGAGCACAACTGTGTCTTCTGTCATCAGGTATTTGCAGGACTCTGAAGTGAAATGATACTTTTTTTCTGCTACATACGTACATTTTAAAGCCACTAGAATGAGAACCAATGTGAACCATACAAATGCACATTTAAAATACCTTTCTGGAGGGTGATCTTTGTTAAACTTTTTCTTCCTAGAGGCAGAAAAGTTTTCAAAGTTCTTAAAATGAATCTATGAAAACCTGAGACTTAATATGAGATCAGGCCTCTAAGTGGAGGCCAGGTGTCCTTTGTTTACTTCATTTCTAAGAAAGCATAGCATGGTCATTATGCAAGCATAGTAACCACAACAGTTGTTACCTGGGTCTCTGCAATGATTGCTCAAATGAGAGTAGTCACAAAGACTGTTGTACGACAGGATTCCTAGCTCGTGCTTATGTGTAAAAATACACATGCTGTTGTAATCACGTATTTCCTTCCTTTCTTTGGATTTCCAGTAGAGCATTTGTTCTAACAATAACTTATGTTGGAGTGTTACAGTCATGCAGCCATTGTTAAACCATTGGTTAAAAGCTTTGGATTCTTTACCTTATTGTTTATTTGCCTATCGTAGATTTTTAACATTGTCAGTGAAGGAGCAAATTAGTCCCTTGCTTTTTGGTGGCATGCTACCAGGAAACAAGTGTTCTTCACTGAATAGGTTCAGGCAAGAATATAGCGAATTGACTATTATGGTCTGCACAGTAAAATCATAAGGTTGGAACTAAGAGCTGTAACATTGTCTCTGTAGATAAATCTTTGACATGAAATGCAATTATAGTAGTGTAATTAAAGACCCATAATTTTCTAAAACTGGAGAATGGGAGACGTCTTTTAAGAGAGATAAGAGAGACCATGTGGTTTGTTGTTTTCGGTTTTGGGTTTGTTTGTTTCTTTTTATTCTGGTGCATTTAAATTTACAAGTAAATTTGCATAAATTTGCGAAATATTAAAGCAGTACCCAGTACAGATATATGGTATCGAATCTTAAAACTCAGAAAAAATATTCAGTAGGCATTCAGTAGTAGTCTTTGTGTTCTTATGGAAAAACTTCTAAGATATTACTTCTCAGCATCTATCTTGAAAAATTTCTTCTATCTATATTAAGGATGCTTTTAACCTTTATGTCTGCCTTGCTGCTCACATAAATCAGTCGGAGAAGTTGTTGATAATTGGCTTTTGGACTTCTTTTTAACTTTCTTCTACAACAGGCATGTCTCTTTTGTGGATTGTCCGGGCCATGATATTTTGATGGCTACTATGTTGAACGGTGCAGCAGTAATGGATGCAGCTTTACTGTTGATAGGTAATGATTGCTACACTAAAGCAGAGTGTGCTTTTTTTTTAATATCATGAAGCAACTTTAAATGGGTCTTAAAATTTAGTGGGGGGCGGTGAGCTATTAAAAAAAGTGAATGCTTTTGAGATGTGTTTAAGAAAATAAAGTGATGCTACAACAAAAATGTACCCTAACGAGGTGGGTTTTTTAAACATAGCTATACTCATTAGTCTGGTAGCTGGCCCAATTGATAGAAGATTAATTGGCTAAGACAAAACCTTGTGGTGATATAGTACTGTGAAATTTATGTCATTTTATGGAAATACATTAGCTACAGGTATATTTTGAGTTTCTCTGAAGCTTCAGTTTGCTTTAAGTATCTAGCCTTAGCCATCCAGGAGAGTCCACAAACTTCAATACAAACAGTAAAAACTCAGATAAATACGGACAAAATCAAGGTACAGATTTATCTCAATTTATACAGTTTTTGTTCTGATTTGCAAACAACAGGAAATGAGTGAAACTCATTTTTATATATCTGGAGAGCAATGTAGTGCTTTACAGGGATAAATAGCGATAAACAGCTTCAGATCCTGTAGTTTAAATCATCTGAGGTAGCTGATAGGCAGGAGGAATAACAGCTTGTTTGGATCTAGGAAGTGTGATAGACCAGACTTCAAGGTTAACCACTGTAATGGCACATCAGGCCAAAGTTGGCTTGTTGGACGGCTGAAATTCACACCACACTTGCATATTCACATACTTTGTGTATTTATTATGTGTTGTACAGTTTGGGGATCTTGGCTTTTTTATGGCTTTGGTGATAAGAACACACCAAAGAATTTTAAAACATTTCTTTACAGGTGACTTGTCCCATTTTGCTACAGTCAGCACTGAGGAGATGTTTAGAGACCTAGAGCATAGAATAAGTCAAGTAGACACAAGTTAGCTGTCAGTATTCTTGGAAATTTAAAATGTTTCTATTAAGGAGCAAGTAGAATGGGTGACTCTGGCAACCTCTCATCTGTAATATATTGTGTGGGTGGTAAAGCCAGCGCTTCTGGAGAAAAGTAGGTGCTTATTAACTTTGATGCTTCACACATAGCTTACTGAGAGCTGACTGTCTTTTTTTATAAAGATACAATGGAAAGTAGATGTCCTAACTGTAGGAGTTTTGTCTATCTTTATAGTTTCTATATTGCAGTCACTTCTCTTTCAGCTGGTAATGAGTCATGCCCTCAACCCCAGACCTCAGAACATCTAGCTGCTATAGAAATCATGAAACTGAAACACATTTTGATTCTACAGAATAAGATTGATTTGGTGAAGGAGAGCCAGGCTAAAGAACAGTATGAACAGATTCTTGCATTTGTACAAGGTAAGTTTTCAACAGCAGAAAATCCCGTTAATGGTGGAAATTTTTTTGTGTTGGGACATGGACGTAGTGGTTTTCTACCACTAACTAAATAATGAACATAGTTCGTTAATCTGAAAAATTGACCATTGGATTTGTGCTTCTTATGTGCGTCAGACTGCCTATGTACAATAGTTATGGCTGTTGGTCAGAGCTCTTGATGTAAAACTAATAGCAATGGCTCTTGTCTAGTAGCCTTCACTGAATTTTTTTGTTTCTTCTTGGTACTGTCTCTTCCTGGATTGTTTCTTTGCTAGAGATTGTACCGTGATTTTACTGCAGTGCAGTAGAGAATGAAGCAGTACTTGTTAGGGGCATCTTGTTGGTAGAAATGCGTTAGATACTTTTATTTCATCACAAGAGATTGGTCTTTCAGCGCCGTTAGTCCAGTTCAGGCAGTGTTACCCTACTCTGTCCATAAAGTTCTGCTCAACTTTAGTGCTTTGAGTTTTATCTTTCCCAGGAGTTTTCACTGTTTTCCTTGCTTACCTGCTTTAGTTGGGGTATGTGAAAAGCTGCAGAGCTAGACTGTCACTGTCAAAAGTAGCCAGTGGGTCTTTTTTTTTTTTTTATTTTTTAGTTCAGAATTGTTGCCTTGCATAAGCTGTTCATAACAGCTATGTCAGAGTGGCTTGATGCGTAAATTTGGAGTTTGTGAGAACTGGAGTTATCACAAGAAATGTGGATATATTTAAAACTAATAATATTTAACAGTCCTTGATAACTAAATGCATCCTTCCATAAAATTAGGGTTTTTCTAAAATGCGTATTTCTGTTGCAAAACTTAGAAAACTAGATCATTAAATTGATAGACATTTTAGTTTTTCAGAATAAAACCTGACTGTAAAATTAATACTGATGTATCAAATACTGAGATGCCTGATCTATCTGAGGAAATTATCTTAAGAATATTTCTGATCACAGTGTAGGAAGTGAATTCTCCCTTAGAGCAGAAGATTATCTTGCACAATGTTCAGAGAGCAACTGTTAAGCTCTTCATCCAGAGGCAATATGAGGACTGTTTCAGAATGCCTCGAAAAGTAGGTTTGTCTGGTTTGAGCTAAAATGTTGAAGGGAAGGATAAATGCTCTGATACTTACTGCTTTGGGAAATACACATAAAATGTGCCTTGAAATTCATTAGTGTATTTAACAATGGCAGAACATGTGGTCATGTGTCTGTAAATAGTATATTAAGGCTTGATGTTCAACTTGATTTTGTTTTAGGTACAGTTGCAGAAGGAGCTCCAATAATTCCGATCTCAGCACAGCTGAAATACAACATTGAGGTAGTTTGTGAGTATATAGTGAAGAAAATCCCGGTCCCTTTGCGAGACTTCACATCCGAACCAAGGCTTATTGGTACGTAAATGCTTAGGTCTGGGCATTTGTGGCTAACCGTTTACTACAGGTATCTACGTTTAGAATAGTGTGTTGCTGAATGCTCTAAAAAGAGGTAGATTTAAAAGGAGCATTTAGTGCGCTCTTATTTGAAAACTTGCATATTTTCTGAGATCTGTATTGTTTGTTCATGTTTAGTTGCTATAGTTAAATCTGTTTGAGGTAGTTGCTGGTTTTTGTGGGTTTTGTGTATGTTCTATGTGTATGCCAGCACTAAAATGCAATAAAGATGAGAAATTTGTCTTAAAAACATTCCTTTAGTTACTATGAATTTAAATTTCATTTAACAAAGTCCTGACAAACTGCTGAATTTGAAAAGTAAAGTATTTTCATTAAAATATTAGAGGTAGCCTGGTTCGATTTTCTGTGTTAGTTTCCTGTCTCCTGGATATAATTCTCAAAGTCCCAGTTGTTGTCCAGCATGTTACGAAATTCAGTTCTCCTACAGTGAATGCATTTGTTTGCCCTTTTTTCCACATAAAACATGGGAGACCTACAAAACATGTTGAGAATGCTTAAAAATTGACTACATTAAAACAAGGTTCCAGTATTCACAATGATATGTTGTGAATATTGAAGGGGTTTTGTAATGTAATTGATCACTGCTTTCTTTTTCAGATACTGATCTTTAACATAATTTCTGCTATGCAGGAACAGTTTTAAAAATCATTTGTATATATGAGCAGCTTAAGTGGTTTTGAGGACAAAATCGGCTATATACTTAAAAATTCGGAATGAAATATTCATCATATTTTAGTGTTCTTCCTGAATTATGTTTTTGTAATATTTATAGATATGTGTATACCTTCATAAGAACAGGGAAGCAGTCAAAGTTGCTAAAGAAAGACACTAATTCTTTAAAAATACCTGATCTTAAATATAAACCTGGTTATGGTCTATTCTTTTCAGTAATTCGGTCTTTTGATGTCAACAAACCTGGCTGTGAAGTTGATGACCTTAAGGGAGGTGTAGCTGGTGGCAGTATTCTAAAGGGTGTTTTAAAGGTAACCTTTTCCCTGTCTTGTCTGGAGATTTGTAATGACAATAGTGAGTAGATTTTTTGCATGCTTAGTGCAAAACTGAATCTATGTAATTGATTTTTTTTTTTTTAAACTAGAATACAGTCAGATAGCACTTACCCTTTCTGTCTGTGCCTCATTTTTACTTTCCTGTTCTAAAATACCAGAATAAGAAACACTAATTTTTATTTTTTAAATACGTTTTTGCTAATGATGATACTGATGTCATTGCTTACAAATTGAGGGAGCTTTCTTTTGTGTGTCCTGCTAGTTTTACTTGCTGAATTACTGGGGAGAAGAGGGGAGCAAAAGAACTTTGACAGTGCCTTGGAAGTTTGTGTGGGTTCCCATAGATCCCACTTCCCCATTTAAATATTCTGTATATTTTGATTTTTTTATTTTGCTTGTGGGATACTATTGACAGATGGAAACTTTAAAAGTTGCTCTGCTAGACTGAAAAGCAAACTACGTCTTTGAACATTTACAAAACTTGTATTTTCTTTGCCTTGTGGTTTATTGATGCTGATCAGTGAAACCAATTGAATTAAGTAATTTTTTCTCAGATGTCATTTTAAAAAAATTTAAATGTTGGAATTATTGCTGATAATAACTGCCTTTGCTAAAGCAGTTTTACAAATTGTATTGAAAAGAAAATCAATTGTTACATTGGCTATAAGATACAGAGCTTTCAATATTGTTCAATTTGCAGTAAACAGTGCAACAAAAAGCCTAGAAGTTCTACAGTAGCCCAGAACTGAGGACTTGTAGATCTTGGGATAAGTAGGTCTTATCTGTGACTAGTGGTTAGCTTTATGTTCATGTGAAACATCCAGTTAATTGCTTTTTCACTTTTGTAATTAGGTGGGTCAGGAAATTGAGGTCCGGCCTGGTATCGTGTCCAAGGACAGTGAAGGAAAACTCATGTGCAAGCCGATCTTTTCCAAAATCGTGTCACTCTTTGCCGAACACAATGATCTACAATATGCTGCTCCGGGGGGTCTTATAGGTAAGAATATTCCTTTACAAAAAGATTTATTTCTTCATGCTTATTAAAACCACTTGGTTTCATTCAAGAATAAATTTCAGTGTAGTAAACAAAAGGCTATGAGCAATTTCAAGTAACTCATGTATGTAGAGAGAGACAACATGAGTGTGAAAAGTGGATGTTTAATAAATAATTTTCCTGAACATCACTGGCCAACGCAGATCAGCTTGCATTGTTAATTGTACTAGCTTCGACAGTAGAATATTTCTTCATCTGTTTAGACAGAGCTCACAGTCTTGCTGACATTCTGAAAGTGCTGTCCAGGTAACAGGGAATTCCCAGTACATTCTCAGTTTGTTGGTTTTAGATCTCCTTCAAATATTTTAATACATAAATGTGACAGCTACTTTTCAATTACTCCTTGTGATTTTCCTTGTTGTGTTGTAGGTGTTGGAACTAAGATTGATCCAACTTTGTGTCGGGCTGACCGCATGGTAGGCCAAGTTCTTGGTGCAGTTGGAGCACTGCCGGAAATATTTACAGAGCTAGAAATTTCCTATTTCTTGCTGAGACGACTATTAGGTGTGCGCACTGAAGGAGACAAGAAAGCTGCGAAGGTCTCTACCCCTTTTTTGCTTTCCTGATTTCTTTTCTTGTGCTAAGTTTTATTAGTATATACTTTTTTGACTTTATGTAGTAATTTTGTCTCCCTGTTCATATATGCTTGTCACTAAACTCACCTGCTTATTTAGTATTGTGGAAAAGAAACTGAACCTGATGCATGGCACAGTCTCACATTCCGTGGTCCATTTTACACAAATCAAAATAAGATCACAATTTTCCCTGTTAGCATTAAAATCTATAAACTGCTTCACGCAACAGTAATTTACGTGCTTCAGGGCTCTCTTTATCCTGTGAAATGAATTTTTTTTTGTGAAATTATTTTGATGTGTTTGGGCAGAAGGGAAGTGAGACTATCCAGATTATTTAAAAGAATGGTGTAATATTCCAGTTTGTAGCAATACCTGAGACTGTTTACACTTCTAATACAGTATGTGAAATCTTCAGTATGTTTTGTAGAAAAGGTAGAGAAATTCCAAGAAAGTATATCGTACCAGGAACGTGCAGTACTACACACACAACCTATTTGCATATTTGCCCTTTCACATATAAACTTTATCCACTGACACTGTTGTGCATGATTGGGGAGGGATATTTGTAGTTTTTGCATTTCTCAGCTATGTCTTTTTTTGTGGCCAATAGGGAACAGAAGATGCTCAATATTGTCTGTGGTATATTTTTTTAATTACTGAAGCTTATGTTTCAGAGTTCTATATGTCTGTCTTCAGGTGCAAAAATTATCGAAGAATGAAGTTTTAATGGTAAACATAGGATCCTTATCTACTGGAGGGAGAGTCAGTGCAGTAAAGGCTGATTTGGGGAAGATTGTGCTAACTAACCCAGTATGCACAGAAGTGGGAGAAAAAATTGCCCTGAGTCGAAGAGTTGAGAAACACTGGCGGTAAGTTGGTGCTAAATTGGTAGAGTACCTGGTTGTTTTATTGTTAACAAAAAAATACGTGGATCTGATTTAGTTCTAGAATAGGTAAGTGTGTGTCATGTCTATTTTAAAAATCCCTCTGGATTCTCCTAACACATTGACACCATTATTGTGGGATGCTTCATTTCATTACTAGCCTCTTTTTTTAAAGAAGCATTATAAATGGGTAGGTACCTACTAGTTACCAGACAAGGAAACATCTGAGGTTCGTGGTTTGTTGCCAAAATTGCCATTCTGTGAATTGAACCAACAGTAGGCAATCTTGGCAGAGCCTGTCTTTATACACACCTAAGTCAATGGTGTTCTACCTGTGGAGCTGTATGTGATTTCTAGTGCAATGTTGAAATAATAGCAGGGGAGGGGGGACATCCTAAGGTTTGGGTATTTTATGTACTGTGAGCAGAGAGGAAAGACTGACCCATTCCGATTACAAATACAAAATACCAGACTGCACAGAAGCATCTGGAGACTGCGAATGACAAGCGGAATTGGTTGATGATTTCTTTTAATCTTGGTGCTATACTTCTGTTTAGATGATTATACATACTGTACCTGTTGTGTTCCATAAGACTACATGAATGTCATAAGAACATAAGGGTATTTAAATTCTTTGACCCTGCACAGCTTTTGTAGTATAAGGGAACATAGCTGTTTTTACAAGAAGTCTCTACTGTATGAAAAAGAACCAAGCTTTAAATATCCATGGATGCATGTTTCTTTCTCAGATCAACAAGAAAGCGTAGACAGGAATTTAGTGCTTGCTGTCTCAGAGCTAGCTGACAAATTACGGAAGAGATTATTCCCTGAAAAAACAAGGAAAAAAGATAACATGCCTTGAACAGAAGGGGGAAAAAAAAAACCAAACAAACAGGACCCAAATTAAGTCAGGGAAAGCAGAAGGAAGAAGAGAAACTATTTATATTGGAAATTATGCTTTTTTTGAGCTATAGAGTGACAGCCTGTGCAAATTTTAATGTGAGTTTTGTTGCTTCTGTAGATTTCTTCCCACTCAAACAACATGACCAAGTTTTGCCAAAAAGCTCACTTATCTCTGGATTATGGGGTGGGCAAGTAGAGGTAGCCTGCTATGAAGATCCTGTTATTAAAAAGTTGCCTTCTGTGCTGTATTAAAAGGACAAAAGAGACAACATAAGGAAACTGGGAGTTGAGAAAAGGGAAAGGAGACAAACTGGGAAGAGCAGCATAATAAAATCCAATTGGAGTAAAGATAATGTACAGTTAGTACTGTGAAAAGGAACTGCAATGGAGTACTGAAAAGATGGAATGAAGTGTGAAAGCAAGAGATGAAAAGGGTGTATAAAATAGAAAGTAAATATATAGAGGCATAGAGGTTAAATAGCAAATGGCCAAGCAGAAAGGAAGGATACACTAGTGATTACAAGGAGCAATGAATTCAAAGGTGGACTAGTTAAAACCTGCAGATATGGCCCTAAAAAGTGGGAAGTACTGGGCAAATATATTTCCGTTCCTTTCTGTCCAGAGTCAGGCTCCACTGCTTAGCAAACTAAATTGAGATGCATGTGTAGTGTCTGTGTATCTCTGCCAGAAATAGGAAATGTTTTAAAGACAGTTGTATTAATAACATGGACTGCCTACTGTTTGTGGAAATTGACATAATCTTAATTTCTTTTTAAAAGCATCTTTTTCTGAGGTGACAGTGGCCTTTAGAAGGGGCCTTCATTTTACTGAATATAAATAGTAGCACTTACCTGAGAGTTGAGTTACCTTTAAAGGTTACATGTTTGTTGTGAGTTACAGTTCTGTTTATAATCTTCCTGTCATCTTGTCTGAATTTTCACATTTTCATTTCTATTTGAAATTAATGCAGCACTTCAGGCACAGGTGAAGGATATCAAGCTGTGAATAGATTTAGAGTCCACCAGTACAGCATAAGCTACAAAATTTCTAGATTTTTAGTTTACTGTGTTTCCACTATCCAGTCTTAGATCTTGTAGGAAATTTTGAGTGGGAGACAAGTGGAGAAAATTCAAAATGTGAGAACTGAAGACATAAGCATGACAAAAGGATGTTGATTTATTGTGGATATTTCTGACTACTATTAAAAGTAATATAAACTGTTTTTCTTTTTGCAGTTTAATTGGTTGGGGTCAAATCAGAAGAGGAGTGACAATCAAGCCGACTGTTGATGATGACTGAAGAACAAAAGAAAGTGCTTCATTTTTAAAGATGAAGTGCCTGTTTCTATTTTGGAAGGGGTATATTTTCAGTGGAATTGGAAGCTGTGCAAACATTATCTTTGAGTTGTATGGCTGTCCTTGTACATTTTATTGAATTGTACCCTCTTACTAAAATACTAGTCATTATCACCATTAAAAGTGTAAAAGCATTGGCGTAGGAGTGGGTTTAATTATCCACATTTTAGTAGAAATTAATTGTACATGTCTCATGGCATGTCTAATTTATGTTATTTTGTGTTTCAGATATATCTGTTTAATATCAGTCAAGCCAGCCCCAGTGTAACACACAAACCATAAATCTGGTATTGAAATAAAATATTGCTTATTTTCATTAATTCATACAATTTTTCTGAGTAACAGAAGACTGCAGTGATTGTTCAACCAGTACAAGAATTAAAAACAAAAAACCAAACTCTTCTTGAAGACTAGTACCCTTGCTGCACAACAGCTTGTTTTGGTTAGACAGCTGTTTACAACAAAAACTTTCTTTCCTAGTTTGTATGGCTCTGACTGAGGATCCTAGCTGTATTACGCTTTGTAATTAGGGTGGCAACATTGACTGACATAAACTTGTCACTTCCAGTATTACAAGGAGTTTTGGTTAAACCCCCGAAGAAAAACTACAAGTAAACTGGATCTGAACTGACACTACTGTTTTTGACCTTATTTTAGAATGGATTTGTGAAAAGAACATGATTAGTTTGAAATGTAGCTGTTTGTCCTTGTGGAACTGTGTGTGGGTGACCTGAAAGCTCTTTATACAGTAGGAGTAGACTGTTTATTTTGAAGTTGCATTGAGCAAATTTAGCTATGATCTTGAACCGTAAAATATCTGGGAAAGGCTGTAGAAAGGAATGATTGGGGGGCAGGGGGCATTCAGAATGAGATGAGGGAAAAGGTGTAAAACTGCTTTTGCTTAGCTAGCCTGAATCATGCTCCTTAGGAGAAAACATAATGTAATAAACTTACTGTTGAGCGCTAATACTTTCATCCGTTTAGGCTTAACTACTTCATTTGTACTCATGTACATAGTTCTAGGTATTTTATATACTAGACTATTTAGCAAGTCGTGCTACTTTCCATATTTTTATATGAAGTACTGTGTTCATTTTCAAAGCCTGCTTTCAGTTGTATTTAATATCTTCAAGGGCATTCTAAAGGTAAATACTGTTTCACGCATCAAAATGGACTTTCATGAAGCAACTTGAGTTTCGCTCCTGATTTTGCATTGTATTTTGTGTTGCCTTACGCCATCTACATTCTTATACTCAGTTCCTCCACTTGTAAAGTACTTCTACTTTGCGTGGTGTTGAGACTAAATACATTTATTTTCTGTAGTGCTTCTCCTTTTTAAAAGCGAGAGTCAGCTATAGTTCTTCCCGATTCTCCTGATACTTGACCAGTATGCAATCTTAAATGTGTCTGTTTTAAAGACTGCATCTTCCATGCTTTGGAAAGCTCACTGCTGTAACTCTGAATTCTAGGAACTTGGATAAATTTATGTCTTACCTAGTTTGGGAGCATGAGGGTGAGCACAACGGAGAAAGTAAGCTACCGCAGAGCGCTAGGATGGCACCGGCACCAGGGTGAAACCTAGTCCAAAGAGTTCTGTCTAAGTGCACTGAATGTATGGGTCTAATGATACGGAAATGCTGAAATGCTTCTGACCAATTGGTTAAGCACCCATAGGCCTTTTTAGGCACCTAGGTATTTTGGAGACTGGGCCTTAATCTCTTGATCTGCATTGTCAAAAATAAAAGTGCCATAATCTTTCCAAAACGCTTGGTGTGCTCCTTGGCTTGGATGGGTAGTAAATGCAGTGTTGTCCTAGTTGCTGGGTTTAGTAGCCAGCCTTGCATCCTTCCAGCTAAATAGCTGTAGGTCAGTACTTAATTTAGGTCTAAAACATGACTTGATACTGCTGTAGTTGTTAGCAGATTCATTAAGTAGGTACATGGTACCAGTAACATTAAGAAATGCTTTATGGAAGTGTCTTGCTCCCTCTGAAGTACGAGGTAATGCTTTGTTCGTCCGATGGCGTGCAGTGAAGTGCCAGGGTAGTGAATTTCGTTTCTGGCCCGTTCTTGCATCAGCCTGCTTTCACAATGGCTCTTCCAGTCTGGGCTATGGTTTGGCTTTTTTAGCAGCTGCAGCCCTCTCCCAGGACAGTTGCTTGTATTCTGAACTGTTCCCCACTTCCTTCTGATGGTGGTAGGCTTGGGTTCGTTACTCGCGCGTGTATGCTGTGTCGTGCAGAAAAGCGTTGCCAACTTGGGATGGCTCTTGCAGAAGAGCGCGTCTGGCCCGGAGTCCGCTCCGATCCTTCCCAAGAGAAGAAGGGAGGTCAGGAGCGTGTAGAGGTAGTCTGAGGTGTCAGCTGTGATTTACATGTGGCATGAACAGCGTGCTGTATGTCCTGTCGCATTGTGGCAGGGGGGAGTGGAGGGGAGGTGTAAAGTGCAAAGTTCTTTTTTTGCCACCAAAATGTTACGTTTCCTCTAACTGGAAAGCTTTGGCTCTGCCGGCACAACTAAAGAGTAATGGGAATGTTTTAAGACTTCAGTGAACACGTGAAGCACGCGACTGCAGCGTCAGAGAGTTGAGTACGGACGGTGTAAGTACATTACATGCTGACGCGCCCGTACCCGGCCTCTCTGCACTCGCTGAATTGCGATGCCCAGGTTTAGGTGAACGATGGGAGAGAAAAAGATGCCACGTAGGACTAAGGAAGTTGAAAATCACTTAGATTTTCTTGGCCAGGATGGAAACAGTAACAGATGACTTGCGAGCGCCCTCTCTTTACCGAGCATTTGTTTCAAAGATGAACTGATGATTTTTATTTTTATTTTTATTTAACCCTTCATAGGCCAGATTGAGCTACTTGAACATAGGTGTGCGGTTGCATTTCAGGTGGGTTGGCCAGCCCAGGGCACGGGTGTGGAGCTGGCAGCTACCGTACTTGCCACATTCTGGAGTGGTAGCTGGATACCGTAGGGCATCTGAGGTGGCCCCAGTACCTCCACTGAGGTAACTCGTTCTCTTCCAATAATCCGTCTGATCTTGGTAATTGGTTTCAGGAGGGTGCTGGGATAGTGAGTGGTACCTCTTCGCTACCAGGAGGAAAGTGTATCACCTTAATAAATGTTTTGCAAAAGGCTTCTGGTATGTAAGAAACCTACTGGACCAGTGTAAGTTAACCGAACCACTGCCTCTTGTTTTGATCAACCTGTGATTGGTTCTGTATTGAAATCAGTAAGAGAGGCTGGCTGGCTGGCTGTTACACCAGGGTTTGGTAACGCTTGTCACTGGTTAGCTCAAATTAAACAAGCTACTTCTCCATCATGTTTATCTGTATCGCAAATACTGTACTGCCCTGCAAACCACTCGTGGTTAAAATTCAAGTTGGTGACCTAGTCTAAGTACATGAAATTAGATTTTAAGCAAGCAAAGGTGGACAAAACTTCAAGTAGTTTTTCACTTCAGCTTTTTGTAAATGCCAAAGCGATGGCTGCTGCTTCACTTGATTTTATGTGTGGAAATGAAATTATTCTTAATAGAAGCGGGTGCTAGTTTCCTGTTGTTTCCAATGGAACTGAAGTCAGGTTTAAAACTGAACAGAAACTGTGGGAGGAAAGCGTGGCTGCTCTCCAAGGGCTGCAGGCAGCCGCTGGCCCAGAGCTGCTCTCCAGCACTATACCTTTGAGCGTAGAGATTGTCCAAAAGCAGTTTTTCCACTGAAGATGGTCCTCCGGGCCATTGGGTGGTTGTTGGGTTTTTTCTGTGGGTTTTTTTTTTTGGTTTTTTTTTTTTTAAATTTCTCCGCTTCCCATCCATATGAGTGTGAAAACCTTATTAATGGAGCAGAACGGTTTTCAAGAGAGCAGTCTTCCAGGCAGCAAGGGTCACATCTCTCCTTTGCAGCAAGGACTCACATCTGCGTAGAAAGCTGAAGTCCTTGTTGTTCAGGGTACCGTGGATGGATTTTAATCCTCTGTATGTACACTTTTTGTGGCATGGGGCTTGCAACAACTGTCGGGATGCTGCAGGGATTTGGAGGGCCGGTGTTCAGAACTGTGATTCTAATTAACTCCAGGTAGAAACTCTGCTCCAAATGGGAATAAACACCCACGGGAGAGCTTGTTCAGTTTATTTCTTTTCTCTCTTCCTTTTCTCCCACCAGTTCTGCCTGTGAAAATGAAAGGTAAATGGAATCCCTTTACTGCCCATCCCAATTTGTACAGAAGGTCTCACTGTCTTACAGGCTAAGCATCTTGTTAGTGACACAAGACGTAGAAGTGTCTTCCTAGTGCCATGTTCCAAGTTCTCTTCCACTCACATCTTGCTGCCTAACAGGCAAGAGAATCACTACCTTAAATTTGCCATAAAGAAAAACATCGGAAAAATGCATTTACTGGAATCTTTAAAATGAAGGTCAGTCACCTTAGTGACTTCTGTAGCAACAGGAACCTGCTAAAGTAGGAAAATGTCAGATTAATGGCAACTGCGGTCATACAGCTGCTTTAAAGGAGCAGAAGCCTGGGTTGCTGTTGAAGCTTGGACCTATCCTGCTCTGGATGCTTGTTCCGTGCACCTGTTGTATCAGCTCCGGTGCTTGCTCAGATGTGCGGTGAATCAGGTGATGGAACGGGTTTGAAAAACATTTTATTTCTTTTTTTTTTTTTTTTTTTTTTTTTTTTTTTTAGAAATGGAAGGAGAGAAGCAGATCAAAGACAGTCTTTTCTGTTGGCAGCTTGGATTTAAAATGTCGTTTCTGTCATAAAGTTTCAGGTGACAGGGAATATGGGAAATGATTCTATTTTGCTTTCCCCAGGTAGACAATAACGTTTATGTTTCCTCAGATACCTAATGCAACTTAAGACTTCATATGTGTGACTTGGCACTCTATCTCCATTAAAGTAATACTACATCCCAGCCTGTGTGCATGTATCAGTTCTATGGATTAAGTCACACAGATAACACAGTTTGAGTCAGGATATAACCTATAACTTGCATAAAAATGCAAGTGAGTGATGGACAAAATAAACCCAAAACATCTCTGGTTTTCCTTCCCCCAAATTCTGGTGGTTTCCACTGCTTATTTATATTAAGCTGATTAAAGAAATGAGGCACACCTGAGAGTATCTGTGGAGTATCTGCATTGGGGCTGGTTTTATAAGAAGGGGGGTTACACGAAGAGAGCGTTTCCCAGAGTTACGGGGGTGCTGCTGGTGACAGCTTAGGTTGGCTTTCAGACCCCTGCTTTCACAAAAATGGGGAGAGAGTCATTTGCTTAATTTCATATGGAAATTTTCTCTGAGGCATTAGTACCTATATACTTATGTTGCTTATACTATTGCATGTGAGTAATGCTACCTCACTAGAAAAAGATTGGTGAGCGTAATTCTGTGATGCAGAAGAGAGAGAAAGCCAAGAGCATGTAGTTGTAGTTGTGCATGATGCTCACTGAGGTTCCATCCTTTGAAGAAACAGCTGCAAAACACTGAGAAAGACATAAAGTCTTAAAAGGATGGGTAGGCTTAGATTCAACAAAAATGTAGGATGATGTTTTGTTTTGTTGCATTGTATGCTTTAAAAAGAAAAGGTTTTCGGGAAAGTCGATTTGTAATCATACCTCTCAAAGCAAAAGGACGTTGCTGCTTTCACCACCTTGGCTCTAACATGCAGGACTAGCTCCTAAAAGTAAAAGTTTAAGCTCTACATAATCACCAGAGCCCTGTGGTCTCATACTGGTGTACAAAGTTTGCTGTAGGAGTTAAATATACCTAATGGTGGAGCAGGTAGCTATTCAGGCGAGAGGATGGTTTCATAGTTCATTTTTCAAAGAAGAATGCTCTCCCAGTGTCTTACAGGCAAATCTCTTAAACTAGCCGAAATAAAATGCAGTGGGGAAAAAAACCAAGGGTAATTCGCAGGTTTGCTAGTTTAACAGTGGTTACATGAGCTTCTGTCTCACCCTGTTTTCCTATTGAGGAAAGTGGTTCCGAACACTGTGCCAGCCTGCCTTATTTCAAGATTATTTAAGAAGGCAGCATGATGTAATACATCATGCTTCTTTAATACAAATAAGTAGATATCTTGTGCAATGGTACAGAGTTAAGGTGCTGTGTCAGTAATTATTTCTGAGGCCTCAGCATGTATTTTGGAAACGCCATTTCCAGCCAAACCTCAGATTTTGTTCTGAAGGGGTGAAGCATGAATTTTCAATTAACATCTTTGCTAATGTTGTTCTAGTATATACAAAATGCAGAAGCATTTTAAAATTAGGGGTTTGCTGCATTAGTTTTGTAGCACTTTCAAAAGTTCCTTCGAGCTCACTGCTGGAAAAAGAGTTTCTACTGTTTTTCCATGCTGAGTCATCTTGGCGAACAGCCTCGGTATTGCCTACGTGAAAGATTTACACTTCTGCCCCCGTCCTGTTCGCATGCTGGTTTCCCATCAGTGCTTCCGCCAGCGAAATGCCCGGCTATGCACGCCCCTGCTGTCCTGGGCCGCTTCTTGCTGCAAGGCCAGGGCTAAACATTTACAAAGTGCCAAACAGCTGCGGTCTGTTAATAAAAATAAGAACAGCAACAACAGTAATACATTCACAAACCTCTGGTTTCCAGACCCTGTCCCCTCCTGACCATACGATGGCGCCTGTGCATGCAGGATGTATTCAGTTGCCTTTTTACTGCAGTCCCCAGACTCCTATGTATGCTACTTGCCACTCATTGGTTCTTCCATTGCCATAATTATTTTGGCACAGCTGGCTTAATAGCTCATGTTCACTTACCAGGATGCTAAAATTACAAATGTGCTCTGGCTTCTCGTTGCTGCTCTCATTTCTGTAAAGCTGCATCTATATGCACGCATCTAATTTCTTGTATGTCACCAGTTCATCTTACTGGCAGAGTAAAAGTGCTTGATTTCCATCTTTCCAGGATAAACCCAGGTAGAATAAACATTTTTTAGAGAGTTTTTTATATGCACGGGATAATAGTTCAGCTGTGACAGTCAAAAACTGTATGTAAGTGATACAAGTATGTAAATAAGTTCTCCTTTCTTACCTTGAAAGGATTAAAACCCAAACAAGCAAACAAGTCTCCTAACATGGGCAAGGCGCAAGGAAGAAGGTATAGGCAAGAGAATTTTGGTACCAAGGAACAGGCAACTTGTCAAAGGAATTACCTCAAACATCTAAGTAAATACAAGAAGGACATGGAACTGTTGGAGCGGGTCCAGAGGAGGGCTACAAAAATGATCTGAGGGCTGGAGCACCTCTCCTATGAGGACAGGCTGAGAGAGTTGGGCTTGTTCAGCCTGGAGAAGAGAAGGCTGCGGGGAGACCTGATTACAGCCTTTCCATACCTAAAGGGGGCCTATAGGAAAGACGGGGAAAATCATTTTAGTAGGGCCAGCTGTGACAGGACAAGGGGTAATGGTTTTAAACTACAACAGGGTAGGTTTAGATTGAATATAAGGAAGGAATTCTTTACAATGAGGGTGGTGAAACACTGGAACAGGTTGCCCAGAGAGGTAATGGAGGCCCCATCCCTGGGAACATTCAAGGCCAGGTTGGACGGGGCTCTGAGCAACCTGATCCAGTTAGCGGTGTCCCTGCTCCCTGCAGGGGGGTTGGACTGGGTGACCTCTATGACATTCTTCAATGTCTTCTATAAAATACAAAGAATTAGAACACCATACTCAAGCATAGACAAAAATTGTCAAAATAGTTTATTTGGAATAATGTTAGCATATATGATATTTACTTGCGTTGAGGAGGGCTTCATTAAGAAATTGCAGGATATACATTTATAAAACACCAACTTTTCAGTTCAAGCAGTTGCTTTCTAAAGCCTAGTGTACTTTGTCTAATACTTCAGTATATTTGCAAAAAAAAAATGGGATTTACAAATTAAGTCTCATGTTCCATGATCTTAGATTCAAATGAATCAGGGCACCGGCTCTCCTCTATTGCTTCTTTGTGGACATTTGTAAAGGAATCTAACATACTAGACAGGATTCATTATATTATTTAGAAAGCCTCTTCCCCTGCCAAACATTACACAATCCTATGTTTAGTTATTTCAGTGTATTTAGTTTTCAATAAAGACCTGAAAAGCATTTTCTCCTGCAAATGTGCCTTAAGTTTCTCTGATTCATTTTTCTTCCTTTTTATGCTTAATCATCTATTGGACTATGTAATCTATTATGAATCTCAAAATACTTCATTTGCAACGTAGTCCTAACCACTAGACACAGAGAATTAACAGTCTTGGCTTTTGCAGGTTTTCATTCAAGAAGCCCTTTTTACCTCGGTGGCTAGCATTGGGCATACAGAAGTAGAACACTTTTTCTTTCGTACTTTTTCCTGGCTACAGCCAAAATGCTATTGAGAACATCAAGTTTAGTAACTTCCTTCCTTAAATTGTCTCCCGTTTATTCCTTTGGCAGTAATTGTACACAACTTTTATAAATCTAACATGGAGCCATACTTTTCACCAAAAAAAAATGGTATGAGAGCGTAATTAGTCCTTCCACAGAGATCACAAGCATTCACGTATTATCCATATGGTTTTGGCCTCTTGCCTGGTTGTCTCACAATACGTGTCTTTAACACGCCAAGCCAGCGGATGGTGGTGCACCCCATAACCATGTGTGCGTATGCCTTCGGCA